GTGTTTCTAAATGTCAAAAGGCGAGTCAAAAGGCGAGCGAAAACATAAAGAACATACCGCTACACGAATTTCTAGCTATAAACCAAAAGGCACATACCGCGATACACCTTAACAAACACACCGCGACACACCTTACATAAATGCCCCCCTCTTTGGGCCTGGGGTTAAATCCCCTTACTTTGGGGCGGCTCGGCAATCGTGTGTGTGTGTGTTTTTTTTGTTTTTTTAGCGTCACGATTTCCTCTGCCGCGACGGCACCGCGACGTTTTCTTCTTCGGCGACGGCTCAGCGACGGTCTGCTTCCGTAGCTTCTCCTTCGTCCACATGTCCCTCAACATCGTGCAGCGGCGTCCACTACTGCAGCATCTTGGCGTTTCCGCAGCATCGGCATCCCCGCGCGGCATTTCGCTTTTGCAGCCTCATTATGTCCTGCAACACTGGCGCGACGGTGTCCTCTTCGGCGACGATGTGCGCGGCGCACCAGCCTCCACGGCATGTCGGGTGCGCGCGCCTCCACGGCGACGACATTCGCGGCGCACCAGCCTCCACGGCATTGGTGGGTGCGCGCGCCTCCACGGCGACGATGTGCGCGGCGCACCAGCCTTTACGGCTTCGGTGGGTGTGCGCCTCCACGGCGACGATGTGCGCGGCGCACCAGCCTCCACGGCGACGATTTGCGGCCTTCACGGCGACGATGGGCGCGGCGCACCAGCCTCCACGGCATTGGCGGGTGCGCGCGCCTTCACGGCGACGATGTTCGCGGCGCACCAGCCTCCACGGCATGTTGGGTGCGCGCGCCTCCACGGCGACGATGTGCGCGGCGCACCAGCTTCCACGGCATTGGTGGGTGCGCGCGCCTCCACGGCTACGATGTGCGCGGCGCACCAGCCTCCACGGCATGTTGGGTGCGCGCGCCTCCACGGCGACGATGGCGCACCAGCCTCCACGGCATTGGTGGGTACGCGCGCCTCCACGGCGACGATGTGCGCGGCGCACCAGCCACCACGGCATGTTGGGTGCGCGCGCCCCCACGGCGACGATGTGCGCGGCGCACCAGCCTCCACGGCATCGGTGGTTCAGTGGTAGAATGCTCGCCTGCCACGCGGGCGGCCCGGGTTCGATTCCCGGCCGATGCACCATTTATGTAGGGGGGGGGGCTCGGGCCGGTCCTTTTGGCCTTTCGCAGCCTCCCCTCTGATTGTATTACTACTACTCTACTTGATGTCCGGGTTAGGCTGAGACGTCTCCCAGCCTGTGCCCGACTGCCACTCGGGCCACGAACATCCCAATGTCTAATTCTACTATTTTTACGTTAAGTTACAATGCATCGTGGTACCAGTGTGAATCACTCCGCCATTTTGAGGCACGCCGCGGTTGGTAGCGCGCCCTTATGGGTTTAGGAGTGAAGCTCCTGGCCATTGATGACTTTACTAATGTACCGATAAAGTTAGACTCCGCTCAATCACCGTTCTCCTCCGACTCATCCCGTTACCAAAAGCATCTGGTCAATTCAACGCCCCATTTATTGTTCATAATTTCGTGATGTGGTCATAACGGACTGCGCTAATTTGACGTTATCATTTTAGAAGCCTATTTCCTACCGCGAACGCAATCTACCCTAAAGGCCGCCGTCCACTGCGACGGAATTCCGTCCGGAGTCCGTCCGGAATGTCGCCGCATCCGGTCCGGATGCGGTCCGGATGCGGTCCGGATGCGGAGAGCTAATAAATGTTTCCTATCACTTATTACCAAATAAAATATTGCAAGTAACCAGCAGCGAATACTCTTGCCATTCTAAGGAAATAATTTTTACTTACTTCATGATGATCGAGTTCCAATTCTTCGTACAATTCACAATGTTTGCCTCCGATACGGCCCCAAACCACGTCTGTTCCGGACGTTCCGGATGCGTTTTCCGCAGAAAAGTTCAACGCGTCGGACATCACTCTTCCGTCTCCGTAGCAACCGCATCCGAAACGCATGCGGAGAGCTGACGGAAAATCAACAGCTGATTGCCGTTCGGATGCGGTCCGGACGGAGCGCACACGATTTCCGTACGGACCGGATGCGCCCATAGGGTTCTGTGTTAAATTCCGTACGGACCGCACGCGTTCCGCACAGTGGACGGCGGCCTTAACAATACCCTAACGCCACGCATGCTAACCTAACCCTCCACCCGCTTGCTCCTACCTATCTATGGGATGTGCCTTGAGCCCGCACAGCATCCCTGCGTAGTCGGAACCTACCTTCGAGCCAGCTTACCAGCAGCGTGGATGAGGTCGGGTGCAGCGTTGCAGCCTGGGCCCTGTTTCACCGGTGATAGCAGCAAGCTGCTATCACGTTTCGCGAGCTGACGTCATGTCGTGACGCCATACTGTTGTCGTAATGGGTAGTTCCGGCGCACGATTGCCGCGACCTTGGCAGCGGCATTAAGTGACGTATGAGCCTAAAAGTAAGAGTTTACGCAGTCATGATAGTATATATGTTTTTGATATATATTTTTTCAATATGATGTATTTAAAAGAAGTTGGGTTTAGGAAAAATTTGGACATTAACTTCGAACATTTAGCTGATGACGTAAAACAATATTGCGGCAATCGTGCGCCAGAATTGCCCCTAACGTCAGCAGTATGACGTCATCACATTACGTCAGCTCGCGCAATTTGATAGCAGCGTGCTGCTCTCACCGGTGAAACAGGGCCCCGGTCGGCGTACAGGCACTGACCCCGTTCTCACTCCCCGCTGCGGTTATATACTCGCCCGAAGGTGGATAAGTCCTGTCACCCGGTCTGAGGCTAAAATCGATCGGGCGACAGTGACTTACGGTTCTGACTACGCTGACCTCGACGTGTTTCTAAATGTCAAAAGGCGAGTCAAAAGGCGAGCGAAAACATAAAGAACATACCGCTACACGAATTTCTAGCTATAAACCAAAAGGCACATACCGCGATACACCTTAACACAGGGGTGTCGTTTTGTATAGGCCTGGTAGGGCCTGAGCCCTACCAATGTTTAATTGGGCCCTACCAATGTTCCCTGAGCCCTACCAATATTTTGTCAGCCATCACTTTACAAAAAAAAACGAAACAATAAGCAATTAAGCAAATATACATCTAAGGTTCTAACCACGGTGAGCACATGTAGCTGGGAATTATAGGTGTCATGTCCTGGGATCGAGTCTTAAGTCTCTGGTGGATAAGTCTCCAAGAGGCTCGAAAGACCAGTGGTTTTAGACGGCCCATGGCTGCCTCTGAGCGCCGCACACCACGCGACGGCCCCTAATAGAGCCTGGCCCGTCTCCGAAACCAGCCTCTGAAGGCACCGACTTCGGAGGGGTGCCGCGATGCTCCAGAATAGGCCATATTGATTTTAGTAAGTCATACACCCTGATGCCCGAGGGTTCAGCGCCAGGTCCTTCCATCATCAGATCACGAAAACTCAAACTCATAATCTAACTCTCATCCTTTTATTTTAGCAAGCAGCGTTAGTTGTCGAATTCTTCACTCAGCGTGGGCCTTCGAAGCCTTCCCTGGGCCCTTTAATCGCAACCATCCTATTTAGTCGGCGTGGACCTCTCAGAACGGCGTGAGTTCCGCTAACACTACACCTAATAGTGCCTTTAAAACTGCACGTTTGTGCATCGGGTCCGGTGATGGCGTAGATTTCCAAGTTTTTTTAGATTTAGTTTGTCTTGTCAGTGACCAAGGTGGAAAACAAGTGGCCGAAATTCGATGAGAAAGGCAGATTTGGGGGTACCCTACCTTGGGAAACCCTAGTCACATATGGTCGTCCGCCGCCTTTGGGCCCTACCAATCATTTTCGGAAAACGACACCCCTGCCTTAACAAACACACCGCGACACACCTTACAGCAACTGAAGTGTTAGGTAAGCCTAAATGATATGTAAAAAGGTAAGAGACACCCTGATTATCATTTGAGAAACAAAAATATATGAATTTTCCTTATAAGACTCGCTCAATATGCTACTCCGCGGTTTATGCCCCGAGGGTGTCCGAGGGCTCCCGTTAGTTTGTCGTTGGCGCTCGGCTCGCGCGCGAGCCGACGTCACCGCCTGTGACGTCGGCTCGCGAAATACGTCATACCCTGCACACAAAATAGCCGGCTGCCGAACAGCGCTCAAATTCAAATTCGAAATTCTACTCTCCAAGCACAATGCGTTTTTGCCGGCGAATGCGGCGAGTGTTATTCGTGTAACTCAAGGATTGAGAAATGATGCATCTCAAGGGAGTGTCAGCAATTGGAATGACGTCACGAGTACGGAGGGCCTGTCACGCCTGCCCGCGGTATGAAGTTACATTATAGAGTTCAGTGAGTTACACGGTTATTTTCAGACCCCCATGGCAGGGCTGCGGAGTCGGAGTCGGAGTCGGTCGGTTCGACAGTTGTGGACGGAGTCGGAGTCGGAGTCGGAGTCGATTTAGAAACCACGAGCCGGAGGTCGGAGTCGGAGTCACCGAAAATCTGTCGACTCCGCAGCCCTGCTAGGTCTGCGGAGTCGGAGTCGGGAGTTGGAGTCGGTCGGAGTCGACAATTCTTCCCGGAGTCGGAGTCGGAGTCGGAGTCGCCGAAAATCCATCGACTCCGCAGTCCTGCCATGGGTGTTGTTGAGTTTTGATCCACATCAAACGTTTCTTATGTGCACGGTCCAAGCAAGAAAACCATTTTTGGGGTGGTTGAGGCGAAAAACACGAAAGAAACGACGGTCAACTTTCCTACGCCATGGTCTTGCAGATTCAGGGCGCGTTTCAGAACGGCACTTGCCCTTCCCGCAGCGTTCGAACTGAACGAAATTCGATCTTTTTTTGCCATAGCAAGAATGAATAAAAACAAGAATAAAGAAGACTGTATGAAATCATACCCGTCCAATAATTTGACACTGCCGAGTGCCGACAGTCGATCCCGAAATGCTTCCTTCATAATTCAAATCCATCCCAGGTAGCATTTAGCTATACAGAGCAAGCATAAGTGAAAACTCGGGTGTCTCAACATCACTGTTCGATGGTTTATTGACAGATTTGTGCAGTATGGTGAGAGCAACACATCAAAGACGTTAGACGAGCATAGTTTGTTTCGGCACATCCACATAAACATCAGAAGCCTCATTGGACATCATACACTATCTACACTGATCAGTTAAACAACGGCGACATTCACTGCAATCTGGTCCCAATCAGCACTCCTCGCCGTGTCCCTGGGGTGGCCGCGTCTCACGGCCGGCCGGCCCCCGGCCCCGCGGCGCCTACTCCTCCTTGTTCCGCCTGACACGAGACACAAAGTAGGCGATGACGACGATGAGCACGAGCACGCCGAGCACGACGCCGACCACGATCGGCACGGTGTTGTCGACCTCCTCGTCCCAGTAGTCGACCAGGTCGGACTCCCACGTGGTCTCCAGGTTGTTGCTCTCGATCACCCTCTGCCGCCAGGGAACATTTGTCGGTCAGTGACGGCCGAAGGGGAAACAGGGGGCGGCGAAGATATGTTAATGTTTAGGTATATGTGCGTTTCAGGCAGAAGGTGAGCTATGTTGATGCGTTTCAGACGAGGCGGCTGAGTAACACAGATGGTGGGGTCAGCTTGTGGTGTGAGAGATCGACCAACGCTGACAATGGCGGTGTTTCACTGGACACCGCCATTGCAGCCACCACGCTGCTATCGCATTTCGCGAGCTGACAGAAACTGGTCACAGATTGTGGTAATATCGGAGATAGGAGTTTGTTGATGTCTCCATGGAAACCCAATTTGACACGTGTGATGGCGGCGCGCTGGCGGCGGCCGTGAAACAGGGCCAATGTCGGTCGGGATGCGCGCCCTCCCTCCTCCCGGGATGGTGCACGGCCCCTGGGGGTGGAGGCGGGACCAGCTCACCTGCAGATGTGTGTGGAGCGGAGCGAAGTAGCGAACCATCGATATGGAGGACAGCGTGCCGTTAACGGTGTACTGTTTCAGCAGCGCCTTCCATCGCTGCGTGTTTCCAGCCGCCATCAGATCCTTCAGGCCGGCGGCGGCGGAGGAATCCAGAGAGCATCGGTACAGGGGCTTCTCCTCCGCCTTATCAATTTCGAATTGTCCGGCGTCGACGCAGGCCTTTTCGAACAGCTGGAACTGCAGCACCGTCGACATGTAGCGCTGGAAGGCGGGTCGGTCACGCGCCAGGTCCGGCACCGCCAGCATGTCCAAGTCGTCAGCGCTGCGGCTCTCTGAGGGACGCACGCCCTGGATATCCTCCCTGAGGTGGTACGGGGACGCGTCAATATTTAGCGCCAACACTGAAGAGTGTTAAAAGGCGAGATCGATTATTGAGCACACTTTTCACCTTGGCGGAGAGGGAAATGATATGGTATAAAGGGCATCGTTTTTCTGTGTCCTTCCTTCATTCACTGACATGAGATGTCTGCCATATACCCATCAGCAATCAGCTTCCGAACATGATGACGGTCAAACAGAAAAATAGCAGGTAAAATAGCTTCAAGGGATCACAAGCCCCTGACTGTCCCAATGAGAGCGCACTGTGGTCTATTGGCCTACTACCGTGAAGGTTGCGCTGCGGCCGGTCGAGTGCGACTGAGCCCGTGCACCTACCTCAGCTCCCACCAGCGGTGCTCCCAGCGGTCCAGGCTGTTGCCGAACAGCTCCCACAGCCACTTGTTGGTCACGTAGTTGAACGGAAGCGGCGCCAGCTGAGAACGACGCAGGTACATACATCAGGCGCGGGCTGAATCGACGAGTCTTGACCACACCGCAAAGGGCGATATTAAGTATTGTGGTAATCACTCGACCACCGATGTGCACGTCAAGTTGCAAGTAACTAGATGGAGACCAATATTACTCACGTGCTGGAGAGCGCGCCGGTACAGGAAGTCGATGTCATATAGGCCGTCAACCTGGGCCATCGGCACCGGCAGCAGACTCTTGGATTCCAGGTTACTGGGCGAGAGGACTGAGAGCGACACGGCCCCGGCCACGGCCTCGGTGAAAGCTGCCGGTCAGAGCGAGAGTCAGACTCAGAGTCAGTCAGAGTCAGACAGTCGGGAGGCCATATAGACTCACAGTGAGATTCACAGAGGGTCAGCGCAGGCACAGACCCGGTGGACGAACGCAGTCTGCACACGTCATGTACCTTATCTGACTGTGCCTTTAACTGTCCGGTTATGACCCCCATGAGTGTGTCAAAAACCTGCCATCACACTGTTCAGTTCGGTTCACCTCCCAGTCCTACTGTTCCACAGGCTGATCCCTGACCCTCGCACCGGCCTGCGCCGGGAGCGGGGTCTGCGGCAGTGGTCGCTCACCGGGGTTGGCTGCGGTACGGTACTCGGGGTCTAGGCTGCGGTACTGGAGGTAGTAGGCCAGCTCGGCGCTCTTGGCATGCACCCGTTCGTAGTTGTCCATGGTAATCTCCGGCGTGACGCGGATCCTGGACAGCGAGTTACAGCCGCAGTCAGAACATGGACATTAGCTCAACCAGCATCCATCAGTTCAGTTCAGACAGACGTCCCAAGTTTAGCAAGGTACTCGTCACTTCATACCTATAGACATCACCTATCAGGCGTCATATTATAATGGCAAATGTTAGCCACTTATACACCTGCAGCTTTCTGATTGATTATTTGATTCGTTTTTATACAAATCTGATGGAAATGGAAAAGAAAAGTTCATGCATATAAATTTCAAACGACCCGAGTCCGAGAGGACATAACGTGCGACAAAGCTGTCGAGCTGCGATGTGCCGAATCACCTACTTGATACAGTCGTCGACTCCCGATGTCCAGGCCAGGGCGTCACAGTCCTGACCCTTCTCACACTCCACCCAGTTGGAATCCCCGAAACACTCCGTATTCATCAGGTCATCAACTAGACCAAGCTTCTTCAGGTACTCAGCGGCATCGGTCTGGATTTTCACAATGTCGTACGACTGTAAAGAAACGCCAACGCGTCATTAACGATACATGTAAAAACACTTCGTTTTGCATTAGGAACCTTACGAGCTTATCAAACGAGATAAGCCGAATCACATCATTCGTGCCACATTCGATTCTATTGGCCCGCACGCAGAGAGTGTTCTGAGTAATGTCCTACTCCTGTGTGTCGGGCGAGTGCACCGTCAGCTTCATGTGAACCGTACCTGCTCCTCCAGTTTGTCGGTGATGTCCACAGTATAGTTGTCGAACGGCTTGGTGTCGTTGTAGATGTTCCTCCAGTCAGCAGCGAACATGTCTCCTGTTAAGGGAGGCGGGGACAGCGGCCGTCAGTTACTGTAACTCTCTCGCTGTGTGGGGGTCGGTGGGACTCGGAAGGGTGGGTACATATAAAGAGGAGATGTAATGACAGCAGCTGTGAAGCGGCGTACATGGGGGTGACAGAGCCGTACCGGTTCCTGACGACGTGTGAGTGTATGCGTGAGAAAGGGGGTAGGATAAGGGACAGGTACTGGAACAGGGTCTCACCGAGTAGGTGCGACGGCAGCGGCTGTTTGCCGGTGGCCGAGCTCAGGCCGGCCTGGTTCAGCTGGTGGCGCACCACCGTGTGCAGGCTGCGGTAGAGCTCGTCCAGGTCGGCCCACGTGTCGGCCAGCTCCTCCAGCAGGGTCTCGTTGGTCGAGCCGTAGCCGTAAGGCTCCAGCCAGAACTGACCGTAGTGCTGCAGACCTGGAAACAGGCGGCCGGGCGTCAGAGCCCGTAGGACGTGACGGAGCAGCAGGCAGCCAGAGAGACGCGACGGCGCGGCAGTGCTTCTGTGCTTGTACCGAACAGCGCGGACCGGGCAGTGAGCGGCCCAGGGGAGGCGGTGGCACCACGGCAAGGAGACAGCCGGCAACTGCACCGTGCCGTTAGAGGTCCTGAGTACAGCTAGACAAGTCTCGGCTACCCGGGAAACCCCAGCTGAGGACAGAGTCTACAAAAACAGCCGCGCCGGCCGTGACCACCTACCGGCCTGGCTGGCAGCGTCGCGACCCCTGGCGATATAGTCGGAGAAGGTGGAGTGCAGGTCAGTCTTGGCTGCGGCCCGGTACTGGCGCCAGTAGTACTGCGCCTCCTCCTCCTCCATCGATCCGGCGGCCATCACCGTCTGCAGGTCTGCGCGCAGAGTGGGAGGTCGTGGCGGTGACCGAGCGGAGCACAGACGCGGTCACACGGGTCACGGGCAAACGTGGTTACACAGACAGAAAAACACGGTTAGATAGACGGGCAAACTCAGTCACACAGTCGGGCAAACGGGGTTACATAGACGGGCGAACACGGTCATATAGTCGGCCAACACCTAACACGGTAGCACATACGGGAAACAGGCTGACACATACTTTATAACAGACACACTGCTCTTGTGTCTGCTTTGAAAAACCGAACTAAGCGTATATCCTCGGAGATTGACCCTGTCTCACGAAGCGACCGACCCAGAGCCGCGCCGAACGTACCCCAGATGGTCAGCTTTTCGGCGTCGTCGCAGCTCTGTTTGTCAAACGGGCACACGGACACGCCCACGTAGGCCTTCAGAAGACCGGCGGTCGACTGCAGCAGCTGAAGGAACAGAGTGGTCGGGATAAATGATGAATGCCGGTAAAAGGCATCACCCAGTCGGTATAAATAACTGGCCAGATGCCCGTCTAAACATACAGTGGCATTAAGGTGCTCGACAGGCTATTACGCTTCACAAAAAAAGAAACCAAACCTTGGCATGCAAAGTCCCTCTTAATCGAACAATCATGCAGGAAATAGTCATTCATAAATGACAAAAATATGTTGATGAAATGTGCACGAATCTTATTTAACTAGACTATGACTAGACCACGACTGAATATCCCACAGCAGTCAAACCGCGTGCGACTAGCCAGTCGGTATAGATCACCAGTTGTAAGCAGCTGAGGGACGAGTCAGCACAGCTCTTCAGTTGGAGCCGCGTCAGCCAGTACCCAGCACGGGTCGCCTAGTTAGAGCCGTGAGTCAGCATACCGCCGCCAACAGTCGGCTCGGGTGTGCCGGCTCACAGCCGACTCACGGTATATGCCGCACTGAGAGCCGACTCACCCGACACAGCCGACTCACGGTATCGTCTGCCGCACTGGGAGCCGACTCACCCGACTCCTATGATGGCTCACAGCCGACTCACAGCCGACTCACGGTATATGCCGCACTGGGTGCCGACTCACCCGACTCCTATGATGGCTCACAGCCGACTCACGGCATCGCCTGCAGCACTGGGAGCCGACTCACCCGACTCACATGATGGCTCACAGCCGACTCACGGCATCGTCTGCCGCTCTGGGAGCCGACTCACCTGCTCCAACGTGTCGTCGTTGGCGGCGCCGAGATCCTTCTCCGACAGAATGAACAGCTCGCCCCACAGCTTCGCCTCGTCAGTACTCGACGAATCATTGATCCACTTGTCGGGGTTGTCACCCAGCGACGACCGGGCCTCGTTCCTCCTCTGAAGGAAAGCCTTCTGATATTTAACCTGCAAAAACAGAAAGTCGAGAAAATAAGGGGTAGTTGGGGCATCGGAGGAATTGTCAAGGCCTTCAGGAATATCAGGGAGAAACAGCATAAAATAATAATAAAAATGGTTAAGTATCTACAAGTATTGTGCCATGTCAACACAAGTTTCGGTAACAACTAGAAGGATGAAGACCTGAGCATATTTGTAAGCAAGACACTGTTCATTTATTGCCACGCTGATGACATTCTACTGATAAACCCCTAATACACCGGACAGTCGAGCGTTGTGCTCGACTCCCGAGTGAGGAGGAAGGGGAGGACGGGTGCAGTGCCCGGGGAGGAGGGGTGCAGTGCCCGGGGAGGAGGGGTGCAGTGCCCGGGGAGGAGGGGTGCAGTGCCCGGGGAGGAGGGGTGCAGTGCCCGGGGAGGATGGAGTGCAGTGCTGGGGAGGAGGAGTGCAGTGCCCGGTGAGGATGGAGTGCAGTGCTGGGGCGCGGTCCGGCCGCCGACCGTCAGCTCACCAGGTTGTCCAGGTTCTCTGTGGCGTTCAGGTCCAGGCCGAACTCCCACTCGGCATCGGTCTCGTTCTGTCGGAAAACGTCGAACTCGTCGTTCCAGAGACAGAGCGCCTTCTCCTCCGGGGTCTTCTGGTCGACCGGCACATTGCCACAGGCGGTGGCAGCGGTCGGTGCCTGCCGCCGGACGGGCACCACGGGGGCCGCCGGCGCAAAGCCACCCGGCGTCTGGTCATCTGAAAACAGCGGCGAGGCACTGTGAGTCGTGGCCTCCAATCACGGCGCTACGCTGAGATACATCGGCCCTTACAGTCACAGTCAGTCACAGGCCTCTCACAGTGCAGCCACCGCTATAGCCTCCGTCACGAACCACTTCTAGAACGTGTGGGGTGGGGACTACTGAGAGGAGGCTTTGAGCGAGTCATTTTTTGTTTCTTATCCTCCATTTCCAGCGGGTACCTCATCCTTAAGATCCGGCGTGTCACTCACCCTCCAGTTCCAGTGTACGCAGAAGCCGCGGCTGCTCGCCCGTCAGACGGCGCAGCGGCTGGAAGAAGGTGATCAGAGGCTCGGCGCTCGGCGCCCGTCCGGTGGTCTCCTGAAGCAGGCGGTCCCAGGGCAGAGAGCTACCGGCCGCCATCACTCGGCTGAAAGACAGAGCAAGGGGTCAGATCGTCAGAAACAATATGGGTCAGCTCGAACACCGCATACTCGTCGCATCAGCGGGCATCGAACAAAAGAGTCTACTCAGGGGTAACACGGGTAGGTTAGATCCGCGGACACATGATACAAGGGTCAGCTCTAGAGATGTCAATCGGATACCAATTAACAAGTTCTTGGTATACCGATACCAAACCGATACCAACTTGGCATTTGGTATTTCAATCCTAATGTACTTGGTATTTTGTTGGTATTATGAGCCCTCACTAATGTATAAGAAGGCTGAGAAATTTGTAAAAAGTCGGTATTTCCCTCATGTTATGAAGTTGGTTCGGTATCGGTATTTCCTTACGGTTCATGTTGGGATTTCGTTTGGTATCGGTATTCAGATGTTCTGTAATTGACATCACTAGTCAGCTCAGTAGACACAGGACACAGTGGACACCGGACATACTGGCCAGCACACGGCCAAACATAACAATGTGCCCATATCCTCCCGACATGCCTGCGTGCCCACACCCCACCGGCGCCACCAGTCGCCACTGACATTCAGCCGCCTCTGGAGGCGTCCCTACCTGATCAGAGCTCCGGCAGCCTCGGCGCCGTCCGGCAGACACTGGGCCGTGCCCTCGGGGCAGGCGGCAGCATGCAACTGGAAGCCAGCCACGCCGGCCAGCACGCGCGCGATGTGGCGTCCGGCGTCGTAGAAGTGTTTGTCGAGCTGGGAGGGCGTGGCGGCGGCGGCCGGCGCTCCGAGAGCAGAGCTCATCTCGGTGCGCCAGGTGGCGTCAGCGTCGGTGGCCGGCGCCGCCTCGAGCGCCTCCAGCCAGCGCAGCGAGGCTGCGTGGTAGCTGATTGGCAGCAGCTGTCGCAGAGAGGTCAGAACGGTCAGGGCTCCACGAATATAGAATCAACTGGGAGTCATGGGGCATACAGCAAAGGACGGTATGGCAAAGCGGTGCCAGTTCACGCTGCATGTTATTATAAGAAAGAAAGTGTAGGTTAATAATATAAAGAGTGGCGTTGATACGTGAGTGGATATGAATTGGCCGGGTGGCAGGCGGTCGAGATGGCCCGGCGGCCTCGTTGCCGCTTACCTGAGTGACAGCCGCCTCCATCACGGCGTTGGCGGCCTGCTGGCATCCGATGTCGCCATGGCAGCGGGCGTCGGCCTGACCGGCCGAGCGGCCGCCGCGCGCCAGGTACAGGCTCACCACAGCCAGACGGGCCTTGGAGGAGGCCTCGTCGGAGCGGTATCCGTACAGCAGCTGCTGCACCACGGAGGGCTGCAGCGCCAGCAGAGAGACGCACTCGGACACGGCGCGCTCGAACCCTGCCGGCGCCGGACAGGAACACAATCAGATACTGCAGCACAGACACACAGACACAGTCAGACACTGCGGTACAGACACACAGACACTCAGATACTGCAGCACAGACACACAGACACAGTCAGACACTGCGGCACGGACACACAGACACAGTCATACACTGCAGTACAGACGCACAGACAGACACTTCGGCACACAGTACAGACAGACATACATGACACTGAGGCACGGAACACACAGCTAGACGCTTAGATACTGCGCAACAGACGTACAAACAGCCAATCCAGAATATACTGCGGCAAGGCCACGCTGACAAGAAGCTTAACATCACAGGCAAACACTGCAGCAAAACATCGACTACAGTGTGTAGGTACACATTTATACAAGGGCACGGTGCATCTGCTACAAAATGGACACCTGCATTGAAACGAAAACTTGTTTTTTCCCAGCTGTAGAGCCCTACAAACAAATACTTTACACTATCAATGCGCTTCTACTCAAACCCCGCGTTACGAAACCAATTGCAAGGAGGGAACACCAAACAAAGTCAAAGTCCACGTCCTGCAGGTACGGCAACAATATATGACAGCAATGCCAGATGGTACAAGACCCAATGCGATACACCCTGGCAAGCTTGAGAGCGGGCCGCAGTAGACGAACATTTATTGTTGAAATAGCGATAACCAAATAAGAACATCTACGGATCCATTTAAGAAACAACAGCAGGGAAGCTAACGAGACATGTGATAGTGATACAGTCCTAGCCGACACGGCATTCGCAGGTGTGAGCCACCCACTGAGTAGCCTCGAGGCAAGGCACCGTAAAGCGATGCTAGTGGGAAGAGGAGCACCGCTGAGCGCTCTCGGGGTCTCCACCTACCGGGGAACGGTGCAGTGTGGAAGGGCGCCGGCTGGCCGGCGGCGGCCGTCCGCAGGTACTCGGCAGAGGTCATCAGGGACAGCGCCGAGCGCAGGCCCTGCGCGTTCGTGTCGGCGCACAGACGCATCCTGCGTGAGCGAGAGGGAGGGAGGGTCAGAGCATCAACAATAGGTACCGAAAAGTTACGATTTTTCACCATTTTCCTACTATATAAGACTTTTTAAAGTTAGGTAGACGAAGTTTGTTATATTTGTTGAGCAAAAATCTACCCTGCTAAACAGTTGCTAGCACGAGACATTCACAACATTAAGGTCCATTCAGCAGCTACCTCGTTCTCGCCTAACACGGGCCTCCGGTGTCGGTTCATTACACCCACCTGTCGGCGTCCACATAGCTGGAGCAGTCGGCGGCGGCGGCGCGGAACTCAGAGTTGGCCCAGAAGCGGGCCGGGGCGGCCGGCAGACCGAGCAGCCCGAGGAACTGCTCCGAGAGCCGAGCCAGCTGCTCGGTGCTCAGCTCCTGGCGGAGAGGTCAGATGTCGGTCTCAGAGCCGGGACCACAGGAGGTCACTAGCCGAAAGAAAAGTCGGAGATTACAGGTCAATAATGGAATACAGACACTGGGAGATCACCTATTTAAAGCCGGAGATCACAGACAGAAAAGGGTCGGCGCTGGACGGTACAGAGAGCCAATCCAGCAGCCTGCCGGCCCAGCAGCGTGATAGATGGCGCATAACCGGGGGCAAGTCAGCGTGCAAGCAATACACTCAGGTTCGCGTCAACTACGGGTCATTAGGCGCCCCCGATCGTTCTGAACATGTAGAGGAGTCGAGCCCGGCCGGTGTTTGTTGGTCGCTCTCACCTTTTCCCGCAGGAGGTCGGATACCACGTTAGCCACGTCCGGGTAGGGCAGCGCCAGCTTCACCAGCTCGGCACAATCGTCACGAGCCGCGCACGCTGCCGACGGAGATAGAGAGACAGGTTAATCCCGAGGGAAGACGGGTGAGCTCAGAAAAATGATACATTCCGAGGAGTCAGATGAACTACGAGATAGCTAATAGAACTTTGAGAAAGACGGGTTAACTCCGAGAAAGACGGGTGAACACCGCGAACTTCGCGAGAGACGGGTGATCTTTGAATAGCTATGTACATACATTCTTATAGCGACCGGGTGAATAGCTATGTTGGTGTCTAAGCGTCATAGATGTGATGGCCTTCAAACGACACCTTTTAGTTGTGTACCACAATTTTATAAACAGCGGCATCGTTTTGGACATTACCCGACGGCATTACTAACACCACTCGGCAGGACTGGTGAGCGGGACGGCACGTACCGTACACGAGGTCGGTGACGGAGCCACCGGCCGGCGCCGGCAGGCTGCGGAGGTGCTCCAGCAGACCAGAGACCAGCGGCGCCGTGCGCGACCACAGGGTCTGCAGCTCCGAGCGGGCCTCACCCGAGCCGGTGGTGAACGGCGCCCACCACAGCTGGGAGGCCGACTCCATACCTACGGGAACGGCATATTGGGTCAGAGAACATAACCTCATCTGCATAACCTCACCGCAGCTGGGAGGCCGACTCCATACCTGTGGAACATGCAGCCCGGTTAGGGCACAGGCTACACAATCTCACCATAGCTGGGAGGCCGACTCCATACCTAAGGGAACGGCGGACCGGGTCAGAGAGCATACTACCAACACAATTTCACCACAGCTGGGAGGCCAAGTTCATACCCGCATGAACAGTCAACATAGCTCAGAAAACAAAAGCAGGGGTCATACCTGCACTGGTTGGGGACCATGTGCCTGTGGGACAGGTCAGTCCAGGCAAGGATTCTTACCTACGGGAGCGAGTCAGCACTAGACATGATTTGACATCTGAGCCGCAAACGTGGTAAGCAAGAGCGACGGAAAGTTAAAAAGAAATATGCTGAAACAGGTTAACCTTAGTTCGGATGAAGTGGTCACAGAAAAGAGCTGTGGTTAGGTTTTCTCAATCTGATAGGATGCAATCACTTATGCCGTCAACGCAATCGTTGATTTGGGCTGACACTATCAAAACCGCATCCGTTGTGCAATGCATCAATGTCCTCATATGAGGTGAAGATAGCGAGCACTTCACTTGAGCTGAGTGGTTTGAAATACAGCCCGACGATCAGTAAATGGAACGCAACGCTCAAGCACTTGATACCACAGATCAAGTGTTGCACCCAGATAGCAAGGTTATTTGTTCGTAAAATTTACTGCTTCAAGGACATCAAACGACTTTTTATCTGGATGAAAAAAGGGGCATTACCTCCCCGGCACAGGGAAGGCATTACACTCGAAGAGTATGTCTATCTCCGCAGAAAAGTGAAAACATGATTTACAGTAGAATGATGGCAATGTAGCTAGCTTCCTAAGTAAAAGACCAGGGTTCCAGAGCTATGTAGTTCCGCATTTTCCTACTTAAATACCCCAGACATACATTACAATGAGTGAAGTGCGACCTATCGAGTATGTACCGTGACACAAAGTCAAACATTCAACCACAAGCGTACGCTATCCTTCATGTGGCTAGGCGCTCAGTGTAGCGTACTTCACAGGCTCGAAGCCCCATGTTCCAGAGTCAAGTGCATGTTTAAACCCGTATTCCTAGACCAGCTGTCTCGTTTATCCTGTGGGGCAGGTCAGTGACGCCTGCCCTGTAGACCAGAGCAGAACGTGTCCCCTGAGCCCGGCCAGGGGTCTAGTCTTCCCCGTCTCCCAGGTCAGGTATTATGTCTCCCCTCAGCCGGGCCAGGTACTCTTGTCTCCTCTGTCTCCTTCTCCCCTGTCTTCCAGGTCAGGTCGTTTTGTCTCCCCTGTCTCCCAGATCAGGTGCTATTGTCTCCCCGAACCTCAGGTCAGGTAATCTGGTCTCCTCTGTCTCCCCAGATCAGGTGGTTTTGTCTTCCCTCAGCCCGGTAAGGTGCTCCTGTGCCCCTTCCTTCCAGGTCAGATGGTTTGTTTCCCTGCCTCCCAGGTCAGGTTATTTTGTCTCCCCTCCTTCTCAGGTCAGGCGGTCCTGTGTCCCATATCTTCCAGGTCAGGTAGTGTTTGTCTCCCCTGTGTCACATGTCAGGTGGTTTGTCTCCCCCTGTCTCTCCAGGTCAGGTGGTTTGTCTCCTTGCCTCCCAAGTCAGGTGTTCCTGCGCCCCTATCTCCTCGGTCAGGCGGTCCCACCGTGTCCCTGTCTGCCGGTACCGGTATCTGCCCACTCAGAGGCGTCCCGATAATGTATCAGTGGAACACAAGAGGCGGCCGTCCCGTCCCGGCCCGGCGCGCGGTACAAGTGCGTCACTGCTGTCACGGGACCCCCACTAAAGATACCCCCCCCCCCCCAGGAGGACGGGGAGGGAAACTTCACCGATTAGATATCATATAATGCCAAAGGGAAATACTGAGGATGAGCTAAAAGTTGATCAGATAAGGTGACTTGGACATAAAACCATATCTTAACAACGCCAAGGACTAAAACCACCGATTGCCGAAAACGAAACCCAGGCGTACCACTAAGCGCAAAGCATAGATTCGCTTTAAAGGGCAGAACATTGGCTCGTTATTACAACAGCCAGAGCTTCTGCCCGCGTGCACGTGAGTTTGAATCGACTGAGGGATTGAGGTCGATTAGTTCAGTAACACGGCACAGTGGTAACACAAACACTCCGAGTCGGAGGATCTACTCACCGAGAGCAGTGGCCATGGCGCCCTGGGCCGTCAGGTACTCCCGCAGGGCGTCGTAGACCTTCTGTTGGCGCAGCTCACCGTCCACACTCAGCATACCGTCCAGCTCCACCTTGCCCAGGTTCATCTGACGGCCGGGTACACAGAGCCGTCTCAACAATTGGAAGATCGCAACCGGCCAAAACAGCGGTCAAATACAATTCACTGGCTGCCGGCCGGGTCATGTAGCCGACTCAGTACTCGGTACTCGGTACACTGACACAGGCCACAGTGGTCACACGGAACAATGGCCAACGGTCGGGTCACACAACCGAATCAGCACTAGCGACACCGCTACTGGTCGACACAGGGCTAGACAAAGGTAAAATGCAACGTACCGATGGCTAGTTAATCGAGGGGACGGTGGGCCAAGTAAGGTCACCTGATCTAAACAAGAAAGCCAGCAACAACATCCGCGGCCTATCACACTGCATCCGTCACCCTCTACACCAAACCACTAATCACAGCGACCGGCGATTCGTGCAAAACCAACCAAGAATGAGAGCGCGCTTCTTCTAGCATGTGCCGCGATGTGAATTGGCTGCAGCAAGGCGACTGAGTAGCCCACGACAAAATGCAATATGTTTTGACAGGTGAAGACTTGTTGCAAATGTGCAGTAGACCGAAGGCCGTTCGGTTACCGTATCAAGCACACATGTGCGTACGTGTGTGCGTGTCTGCGTGCATTCCCTCACCGTGGCGGCGTTACGCTGCAGCTGCAGTCGCCTCTGGACCGTCTCCCAGTTGTGGGGCTGCTCCTTCAGTCGGGTCAGCAACGCCGCCGACAGCGTGGCCAGACGCAGCTCGGCCTCTCCCGGCTGTGACCGGGCGGAGTAGGGGTCACAGGGGGTCAGAGGACTGTCACCGAGTCAACTGGGAGGGGTTTAACGCCCGAAGGACTGGAGGTGATGGACTGAATGATGAATGACACCAAATGCAGGGTTCAGAGATATAAGAAATACCGATAGCCCAAAACGGGCACCACGGTTTCATCTGGACGTTCGTTCCATTTTGTTTATTCCTTACTAACTACGACAATGTCATCATGATAAGTAGTAACAATACGCAATGATTATGTTTTAGCAATATAAATACACGCTTGCTGTTAGAGCAGAGCACGTCTAGCCTTGTAAAACTGTAAATCATGCGGCACTGCCTGTGAGAGCGGTGTTCTTTCACTGGCCGGGACAGGCCGCCCGGATTCTCACCTGTGCGCCGTGCTGCCTCTGCCAGCGTTCCCGACCGGCCTCGGCCACCAGCTGGTCATACTCGTGCTGCACAGAGTCGCTCCAGGCAGGCACGGCAGCGCCCAGCGCCACAGCGGCCAGGGACGCCAGCAGGCAGCAGGCGAGCGCCGCGGCGCGCATGCTGAGACCACGGGCGGGTCGAACGGACAGAACAGACGACGGTCACGGGCAGACCGGACCAACAGACGACCGCCGGTCCCGACGCGCTAATGACGGCTGGGTCGGCCGCCGCCGGCGCACCGCGGGCCGACAGATAGGGCGGGCAGGGGCGGCTACGGCGGCCGGGGGCGGGGGATCGCGACGGCGCACGGCGGATAAACCGACGGCAGAGGTGCCGCCGGCGGTGCTCATACGAAACCTGATCCACTGAGAGCGTTCGGTCAATGCGCTTCGTATGACACTCGTGCCTACGTTTATGACAGGCCTGTCACCTTTCTTCAAAATTTCTCCAGTTGAATGTCCAGTGCGTGTGAAATCCTCCTTGATCGTGCTCATTTTCCCGGCCGATTTACTTCAATAAATGGTTATTAAGACCTTGTCTGACCCGAGCACAAACAACATTCCGTGTTTCTGACGTTCCAGCCTCCTAAATATGAACTTTTCGGCACATCCAGCAGATCAAACGTCATTTCCAGCTTCGTCTGTCATAGGAGCTCCAATTCAAAACTTATCAATGTTGTAGTTTGTGCTATTTGAATGACCAAATGTACGCAGTAATTCCCTCGCGCATCCCTCCCATCATTTGTCGTCTGGCGGCGCCGCTGGCGGGCACGGACCCTGACCGCGATGGACCCTCTCTGCGCCACACGCCGCCGATTAGATTGTCCATCCGTGTCACGAGCTCAGCCGACAGGTCAAAGCTGCGCCGTCACGGTCTCGACTTCGAGTCGCCGATAGCCTTGGCCGGGCCGGCCCGTTTGGGATACCTCGGACACCTTGTTCGAAGCGGAGGGAGCGGGAGGTCTGGGTGGGACAGGTCATGTCTGTCTGACAGACCTGCCGCTGTTACGTTTTTTTGTGAAGGTTTCCGACATTCTGTCAGAAACCAGGATCATTATCACTAAATTGACAAAAACAGTTGATGTTACATTCCGTGCATTCCGGGTCATGTGTGCGATATACGTCTGTCACGCATTTCGTAACACCAGAGTCGCACTCCATGCCACGGGACATACGGCCTTATCTGAGGTGGTAGGTATTGTCCGCTGAGTTATCTCCTCCCATCGCCCACCGTGGTCCCACCGCCAGGGACGGTCTCTATCGGCGGACTTTTTGTCAGATCTATTGACGTGATAAGCGCAGCGGACTGCTGATAGTGGTGGGACCGACACTACCAAACACGCATCGGAGGGGCCACCCGATCCGGCAGACCACAGAGTAATGATGGAAGTACTCCACGTTGGTCAAGAAGACCAGAGCAGCTAGCCTAGAGAACAACGCTACAGTGTGTATAGTAATGTGTCAGACATTTTCTGGACCAGACGAAACACGAACTGAAATTAGAGTTTACCGGAGCGTCGACCACAAAGCCATTTGCCAAAACAAGACTTGATACGAGCACGTTTGTTTATTAAAATACGTGGTAAAATAACTGACACAAAATCGCGTCGCGCATACACACAAAGTCGCATACACTTCAACGCTACAGGGCTGACTGGCCGGCCCGTTAGGGCTGAGAACCGATGACGAGTTACGTTCGCTGCGGCCGCGCCGTCAGCTGACGTGGCACAAAGTGACGCGTGATGGGCTCCGGTGACGGTGGCGGTGATGTGAGTGATGTGGGTGAGAGGCTGATATGTCGCTAACCACCGGTATTCCCTTCACAGCCAGCTGGCCCCGCTGCCGAGCCAGCGGAGCCACACACACACACGCACACACAGGCAGTCAGAGGCAGCACGCGAGTCCGGGCTGCTGCCGGGACTCGACACTGGGCTAGAGTATTCTGGTCTGGGCTAGTCTTCACTTGGGCGGAGGCGGACACGATCCGACGGTGGGTGTCACTACTGGTTAGCCAGCAGAGGCTGACCACGACACTCTGCCGGGGGCTCACCGAACTGACGGACTCCATTGAACCCAGTTCACGTAGAGCGCACGGCGCTGTACGAGCCGCACCACGGGAGCAGAGCACTGAGTGGCGGGCAGCTCAGAGGACAGGCCGGCTGGGCCGGCGGCACTCAGTTCAGACGGGCGGGGCGGGGCACTACTGGTGCAGCGACTGGTGCAGCGGGTCCTGGCCGTTGGCGGCCGCGCAGCCGAGCGCCGTCTCGTCCGACCGAACTGGGAGCGCACAGACAGACAGATAATCAGACACAGACAGACAGACCGACACAGTCAGTCAGACGCTAACAAACACACACAGAGTCCGACAAACAGGCACACACAGTCCTATACAGTCGCAGCCAGTGGAAGCTGTTCAATTAGAACAGTTCAACAGAGTCTAGTAACACGGCCCAATCACCAACACTGTCCCACAATGTCTTTCCTGTGTCCGGTAGGTTGGCTTTCCAACAGTTCAAAGTGCCAGTCCGGTAACAGGATCCCAATCAGTCCAGTAATTATCCCTTTTACTACCATTTTCAGTTCAGTAGCAAGTTCAAGCATACATGTATTGCCAGGAACTGAGCTATCTTATCATTTCAAAAGGTCAATTCAATAACACACCGCTGGCGGGCCCGGTCTGAACTCATCCCTGAACTCCACATTGCACAGTGAAAAACAACCTCAGCGAGGACTGCATCCACAATGTGTGTTTACCGGCTCTACTGGTGGCAATACCAATTATCCACAGTAATCCTAATTCATACAAGTAACTACCTGAGCTTGGGTGACCTGCTACGAACTGCCTCTTACACCCTGCTGCGAAAACATATTCGATACGCTTTTTGCCAAAAGCCACGACGCATCGCTGTTCTCACTTTTTGAAGGAGAAAAAAAAAACGCAAAAAAAAAAACAGGAGTTCATAACCACCAAGACAGATAACGAGCTAGTTTGTTTTTGACAGCTCATTTGATAGAAATCATGGTATGCGAAAAACGGATTGTTGATGTGCGGCGCCACGTCGAATCTACACATGCACCGGGCTAGCCACATCCTATTTCCGAGTGCACGGGTTGCCAGTTAAGATTGCTTTCTAACGCATTTTCCACTATCTGAGAGGCGCATACGACCCTCCGTCAAGTCGGCTCTCTTAGGACCGGTAGATAGTCGAGTCTTGCCGGAGGAGGGGGTGGGGGAGGGGCGCCAAGGCCTCCCGCACCGTACTTTGCTAGATAAGATGGTTCTGACGCAAGACCGTATCGCTGATGCTGAACTCAAAAGAACAATATAGCTTACCTATAAATCGGCTTTGTTTCAATCGAAGAAGAACGTGAGCTGTATCAATTATCAATGTAGATAAAAAGATGGCAAAAGCTATTGAAATTGCAAAAACCCTGGTGAATTCGGACGCCTACTTGAAAGAACGGTACAAGTCTGATTATGTGGAGATTGTGAATCAGCTAGCTCAATTTCAGGGCACCTTAATTCTGAGTTCTGACAGTATCAGCCCTGGGTTGCAACACCAGCAACTAGCTTATTGGCTATTGCATAACTTAGAAACATATCATACTTTAGTCAAATCGAGCTACAGTCGAGAGGGGATCACCCGATGGATTCCCACCTCAAACCCCTTACCATTGTAGGGTAGAAGACAATCTCAGGAATTTAGAGCAAACGGAAAATGACGGTGTTGCACCGCAGCAGTTTCCGACTGTGCGCATTATCGGGACAGGTTGTAGGAACAAGTATGTCACCCATGCTAGGATCAAGTTACTATGAAGGTGTAAATAAACATAGTAAGGTACAGCTGAGTTGCATCAGCGAAGATTTTTAACGTTCCGCGTTTCATTAAAAAGGCTGCGTGCTTTGCATTCGTTTGTATTTTGATAAGCCTTAAATGATTAGAGATCGTCTATATTATTACAAATTATGTAGGCTAACACGTCTAAATATTATTCAGGATCCAATAACAAGGATGCAGTTTTATATACGCATCCAGAAAAGTAAAGAACCATTAACAAAAAAAAAAAAAAACACACACACACACACAAAAACGAATACCTTCCGCCCCTCAAATAACCTATGCTTTATGTCAAAATGAATTCAGTTGGCGGAAACTTAATCAATCACTAAATTTGTATACAAAATACAAATGCTACAAATAACAACACATAAAAAACGCAAACAACAGTAGCCAAAATATGAAGGAAATAACATCAAACCAAGAATCGCGGTCAAATTCGAGTTCGAATATTCCGACTTTGCAATCTTACCTTGTTATACAAGTCTTGCAACCAATGAAACGCGAGCGTCATGCTAAAGAACCAAACTAATTGAGAACTGAAGGATAAAACACCACTTGGTACACGCTTCAAAAAGTGTTTGCAACGACGGTCGCAACTCGCAATAAGAAATAACTACTGGTAATTCACATCTATATTACTATTTGAGGAGGGTGCGTCTGTCCGTTACCGAGGTCCCGACTTGGTCGTGCTTTGCGTGGACTACAGGCCAGACCGTTGCACCTAGCCCGGTGAAATTTGCACAACTTATAGATCAAGGATGCGCGACGTGCCTTTGAGGGGTCTCAGCTCGATGGGATTGGTAGGGAGCGCGTGGCACGTGCTAAAAAAGTGCAAATTCGCGTCATAGACTTTACATGTATAAATCGGCTTGCAAAATCGGGCGAAAATGGCTAAATTTGCCCGACACGGGTCCGATCCCCGTGCAATATCTCGGTAACCGTGGGCCGGATCGGCACGGGGAAAACAGCATTGTGTAGATAATTGAACAGGCTATCGAATGATATGCGGTGCAGGGGATGGCAAGTGCCACGTGCACCCGTGAGGGTACTTTGGTTGAAAAATTGCGGTTTTTGACGGATTTTGGAGTTGATTTTATTTTTAGGTGACCATTAAACGGAGCGAGTTGGAACAGCGCCTGTTGGCAAGAGAAATGTACCGCCTCTCATGGGAAAATTGTGAAAAGCTGATTGATCCAAATCAAGGTGGTACAAATCACGGGAGAAAATGGTGTTTGTCTATTTTGTGCCACTTTATTAATCACACAGGTTTTGCTCAATGATCTGATATATCTGGCAATTAAAAATGGCACCGTTGGAAAGAGCATTCAATTCTGTCCAAGGTTCAGTCTTTATTTTTGCATGATGAGCAACAATACTC